CAGAATGATTCTTAAGCGCCAGTGATCGAAGACGGTCTTCGACTCTGAGTGGCCAGGTTTCGCAGCCGTAAAGCAAGACAAGACGGACTGCTGCGGAAAAAAACTCGGATTTTTGTTTTGAGGCTGATTTCATTTCTGCGCCAAAGGGGATTCTTTAATTGTAAAAATGTCCTTCTTGCAACGTCGATGCGCATTTGCATCTCGTCTTTAGCTTGGCCGTTGGGGAGACTGGTTGAGCCCAGTTATTTGAAGCTTTCGACGGATTCAATCCGCTCGCCGTTTAGTAGTAAAGCATTCTCGGGATGAATCGGGACTGTCGCCAAGGTTTTGGTTTTTGATGGGTTCACCTCTAGGCCGATCTCGGAGACCTGCCGATTGATGCGGCCAACGATTACTTGGAGGTTTGACGTGTTCTCGCCAAAGACGACTATATCGTCCGCAAATTCTAAGTCGGTGAGCTATAAGTTCGGAGAGATCTGGACTCCCTGGTATCCTTCCATCGAGCGACACTTAATCCAGTCCACGGCAAAGTTGAACAGCACTGGGGACAATGGGTACCCGTGTAGCACTCCATATCCTAACCCGAACGGGCAAGATTCCTCTCCGTAGACAAGGATTCGGGCGCTAGTGTTAGAATAGTAGGATCTCATTAAGCTGACAAGTTTGACTGGGACATCATGGGCCAGGACTATGCTTCAGAGGGATTTGCGATCTACAGAGTCAGATGCCGCACGAAAATCAATGAAGCAGACTGTTGTAGGTTGTTGAAACTTGTGGCGATGTTCCAAGAGTCGACCTAAGGTGAATATTTCATCGATGCAACCCACACAGGGTCGGAATCCCTTCTGGTTAGGACGAGTGCGTGCGTGCCTTGATGCAGCAAAGATGTTCAGCAGAAGTTGTGCAAAAATCTTGGCGGCCACGTCAAGTAAGCTGGTGCCTCTGTAGTTTTCCCACACTGATTTGTCACCCTCTTTAGGGTAAGGTAGTAAAATCGATGTGGTCCAGTCAGTTGGGTGAATTTCGGTTTTCTAGATTGCACACAGTAAGCTATGAAAAGAGCTTAAAATGGCTGAAGAACACTTAGCGTAGATTTAGGCGGGTATCCCGTCCTCACCGGGAGATATCCGTGGCTTGGGATGGCTGATGATATCTGGGACTTCTTCTACTGTTGGCGGAGCGCAGTTAGCTTCGTATAGAGAAGATGGCTAGGAGGGCGCATACGGAAGTTGGATTTGAGGGCGATTGAGAAGAAGACTAAAGTGTTCCACCCATCGAGACGTTTTCCCCTGCGCATCAGAAATGATCTCACCAGAGGCGCTGCGCAGCACAGAGTGGGTGACCTGTTTCTTGCCTGATGCTGATCGAATAATTCGGCAGAGGGTCGCCGTGTTGGCCAGGTTGCCTGCTGTAGTTGCATCTATCGTTTCTAGTTGATCGTGTTGCTTGTCGTCTGAGATCGCGATAAGCAGAGGATTGAGCGAGATGGGCCTCTCTGGCCACATTAGCTAACTGGATGGTGTGGCTGGATATCCAGTCCTTCAGACGACGTGGTATAGTGCGTGCAGAGCAGCTTATTGTACCGATGACTTCATCCTGGTCCACTGAGTTTCAACCGAGCTCCCTGTGTAATCTTGTGTACCGAGGGGATCGTTTGACAGCCGTGCAGTTATCATTTCTCGCTGTTCTCCAGTGGAAGCACATTTAGGCGTTTTGAGGAGATGGTCTTCCTGCGAGTAGTTAGATGAAGTCTAACTTTCGCGCGAACTAGTACGTGATCAGATCCACTTTGGTTCCCGCATTCAGCCCCGCGATAGGATCGACAATCTTCAATCGAAGAAACCCATCGTGAACGGATGAGAACGTAATCAATTTGATGCGCCGGTCGGCCGTCGTTAGAAGATGCTTTTTGGATGTTGAAACCGCGTGTTTGTAATACACAATCGATTATAATCGGCAAAGCTGAGAAGTCGCCATTCTCGCAGCGCTGGCCCAGGCCAAACCTCTCTATGATGTTTGTGGACCAGTTCGATCGTTCCAGTCCCCTGCTATGACAAGTACATCCCGTTTGGGTATTTCATTAACAAGCGATTGAAGGCTGGCATAGAACTCATCCTTGACGTTGTTGTCAGATGGATGAGTCGGGGCGTAGACAGCGATTACTGAGAGGTTTACTGGATGGCCTTTGAATCGGGATACTACAATCCTAGAG